ATAGTTCTTTCAATCGATCACGATGCTATGTAATTATAAAACATTTTTATTAAATAGACAAAAAAACCGCCTGATTATTTTTACTTTTGTTCCTCCAAATAATCGACTATCTTCAGTTGATAAAGATGTTTGTAATAAATAAATATAATCACGTTGTAAACTTTCACGTTGACCTTGTTGTAAACGAATTGTTCTGAAAAATTATTTTATAATATTAATGTAAGAATATCGTTCCTCTCCCACCCTTTCCGCGGTTATATTGAGTTCACAGTTAGTTTAAATGACCTCTCTTTTCGCGTCCGTTTCTCCGAGATATTACGTTCGATTGATTTGAAAGTTTTTTTTTTTCAGATACTGAATACTATGTAGGGTAGGTATCTTTTTTTTGTTTGCTTATATTGTTTCATCCTTCAATAAAAAAAGACGAAGTACGGGATGTACCCTAAAAAACATTTGTTTTCTTTTTACAGACGAAGAAATCCATCCGACTGATAATTTCCATTTACGCTCATATTTTGCCGATAGATATGACTCATAGTGTAGATGAAAATCTGAAAGAATTTATGTGATTACGTCTTTCTTCTTGAGTTATGATCAGTTTACTGAACTTTCAATCTATTGCAGGGTATCAAGAAAAAGACTGTATCAATGAGTTTGGGCTTGAAATTCTGTGCAACAATAGCTCTCATGACTCTTATGGTATCTTGACAGTTTCAATTTAAACAGATATTTCCATTCTGAAATAAAATGTTTGAAAAAAAAACGTTACATTTCACCAAGAGCTCCAAAAATGGTCCAGTTTTTAGGCATACAATATCTTTACAAGAAACTATTATTAAGATTTTACTCGTAAGATCAGTATTTTTTACATACTACTAAAAATCATCAGAGATATAATTTTTGAAATAAAAAAATAAATATCCACGTGAAATAGTGACTAATTAGTATATTTGAAAAAAATTTCAGCTCAATTTCTCTTACCATGTCAAAGACATGACAGCAAAACAGTATTTTTGTTGTATTAAATTTGATTTCGAGAAAAATACAAAACAAAATTGAATTTCGATTTCCTCCGCAGTATTCATATTTTGTTCTTTCTGTTTACAATTTAATAGGTCTTCCACCACTACGTATTTAATGAGCTAGTTTTCTACTCTCAAAAAGTACTTTTATTCCACATGCCAAATGTCTGTGATCAGACATGTATGAATAATATACGTTTTGTTGACTGCATTTCTTTATTACTAACGTAAGAAATAGAATAAATGAAATAGCCTTGAATATTAAAAAAAGCATACTACTAAGAAAAAGTCTGAAATTGAAAATTTTCGATTCTTCAATAAACTCGGTCAACTACCTCTAGCATAAGTCCAACGATTTCTCATGCATTTCGACATGTGACTCTAACATGATTATATGCTAAAAATTAGACGTGCAAACACGATATATTTAGAAAAAAAAGTGAAAAAAAAATCGATTTTTTTGGGAGGGGGGTAGGGACGCTCGAAAATTGTCCTTTTTAAGGTTAAAATGATGCTAGAAGGAGTTTATTTTTGCAGATCGATAGAGAACATTTGAAAATGTATATACTAATGAAAAACAAAAAATTGAAAAAATTTTGATTTTCGCGTCCGGAAAGGAGGTGGAAGGAAACTTTAATTGTATAGATTCTATTTTTAACATATATTTACTTTAGAAGTTTACGCATTTTAATGTCATCATCACGAATAATTCCATGTAATCTTGTTATTTCACAATGAAGAAATTTAAGTTCATTATTACTTTCTCGACTTCGTTCATTAAATACTTTAGAAATAGTTTGATGTCTAAAATATTTTATGTGTGTGTTTTTTCGAACAAATTTATTACAATAAATCATACTTGCTACATGACGTTTCTGATTGAATAACATCAAATAATTGTTTTTCAAGTTTACGTATTACTTCCGATTTTTCTTTGATAATCATTTGATAAATATTTTCTTTATTTATTAATGAAGCTAATTCACATTTTAATGTTCTATTTTTAAAGAGAACAATTAGAGAGAAGACTATATTAAATAAATAGAAAATATTAATTACAATAAGGTTTCTTGTAAATTATTTTGTTGGTTTAATCCATCATTTAAATCCAATAAACGTTGATCATAAAAAGCTGAATCTGTTGATTCAATTGAATGACTAGAGGAACCAGTTCGATTTAGAGTTGATTCTTTTAATAAATCTGATGATCGAATAAAAGTTGAACGACAATTTGAACATAATGATAATGTACATGTATGACAAAGATGAACACCTGTATTAGATGATAAACTAAAATAAGGACAAAAAATCCGTTGTAAGATAGATGAATCTTCTTCATAATAAACCTCATTTTTCGAGTAGTACTTTCCATTATTGAAGTAGGACGATATTTTTCTAAAATAATTGTTCTTTTCAAAAACAAAACATCCTCATTTAAATAAATATATTAGATACAAACCATCTTCACTAGAAAATTCATATAGATTAGATCGTTCAGTAATAAACATTCTTGAATGTAAAAACTCAGTTGGTGTTACACTATCCGATTGATGAATATGCCAAACTAGAATGATTTAGAAATTCATAGAATAAGAATTGTTGTTTGGTTGAATGCGCTTTCTTTATTAATACCTACCATCTTCATTATTAATAATCTACGATAATGTAAAAAACATAATCAAGTTAATATTAATATAAAAGAAAAAATATTCAATTTACTTCATCAGTTTCAAATCCTGGATGTATTTCATGTATTAATGATCCATTATTAGATGGTGTACATGAATCACGTTTGGTCTGAAAGATAATAATGTAAAGATTAATATTCTTTGTTGTCAACTGTGTTTTCTTACTTGTAATCCAAGTAACCAGATCATTAATGCTTCATGATTTTCAGCTCGTAAATGATATTCTTTATTATTAGTTCTAAAATTAGATATTCAAAAATATATGAGACATATAATAATTATCAACATACAAAATAATAAAGACACGTTCCTCAGTGGTACTTAAAGTTATAGCAGCTCGATGTAATGATATACTTTCAATAGGTACTTTATTACTAATTAAATCACGTTCAGATTGATAAAATTCTAATGTTTGAATCGATTCGTTAAATGCACACCAATAACGACGAGTAGGAAGAACAAGACTTAATGCTATTATTGTTATATTAATAAAAGAAAATATATATATGATTTATCAATAACAAATATTATACCTCCACAAGGTTTAAGTGATAAGTAACCCGACAGACTATAACAGCCAGCACGTTCCATTTGTATATGTCATTTTATCTTTCAATTTTTTCTAATTTAAAAGAAAAAAGAAAATGACATGAAAAATATTTCTAAATAAAATTGATTATCAATCTACCTTGTATGTTTTCTTCTGTAACACTATTTAATATAGGTTCGTGTTAACTTATTATGGATGTTACACGAGATACATATGCACGAATAGCCAAACGTGTGATTATTGAAATTTCTTCCTCTTGGCTCTTTCTTTTTAGACCGCGTCGGTTAGTCTGCCAGATTTTTCGTAAATGTGTATGTGTATTCACGATTTTTTTTCCTTCGTCTTTTCTTTTTTCATCAATCCGTTGTTTTTTCGTATTCCGTTTTTTCTTTTTTCATCACTATCAATTGGCAACAGCAGCCAGCTGTTGGAACTAGTATTAGGCTGTAACGAGTAGGACAGAGTGTCATTGATAAGCAAGAAAAAAAAAGGCTTTATCGTCATATATGTTTTGATACCATTGTACTTTATATATTTAATTGCAACAGCTTGATACTCTTGCCAATTAGGAACGAAAAAAAAAGAGGCATTTTCTAGTTGAAATCAGTAATTATATTATCTCGATCATTATGATTTATACTAACATTAAAATCTCTAATAATAAGGCTAGAAGATTTGAAACCAATAAAATTAATTGATTTGAAAAAATAAAAAAGTTTTTATATTTAAAATTTATAACTTTTTATTTTGATTACAATACTTCCGTTGTTGATATATGAAGAAAGCAATGCTGCTAACATCGTTTAATAATGACAGGTGAACAGTGGTATTTCTCCTTTTTGCTGTTACTACATCGTTACTATTTCACTTCCGTCGCATTGTCAAGGTAAAGCAAATCTCGAGTGTTGGTCGCGTCGGTACGTTGTTGAATCTAAGCTATATGTTGTGCACGCTCATTCGTCTTATATTATTCCGTTTAAGAACAGAAAACATGATCTTCTCTCCGTGCCTTCGTCGTCATTTTTTTGGGGCGACGAGAAAAGGAATTGTCGTCTTCGTCGGAAAGAAGAAACATACACAACGTATTTTTTTTTGGATGAAGAGAAGGAAAAGGTAAGAGGGAAAATAGTGATGTGAGTAGTAGTGCAAAATGTGTCGTTCGTCTTCATTATCAATTTTTTTGTTAGACGAGCGGAATGAGCATACTCACAACGTTCGCTTTCTGTTTTTAATAGTTTACCGACATTGCACACATAAAGACTTTAACCGGCTTTCACCTTCATTGATTACAATGGCGAGATGTCTTGTAGTCAAAAAAAAATGGAGAGATAGAGAGCGAAAAATTTTTTTGGGAGAACAAGACAGGAAGAGAGCCTTCCGTCCGTTGTGCGTCGTTTTTCTCTCATATGTGTAACTTGCAGTTCATTCTCTGAAATTGATTCAAGCATCGTTCTATTAGTAAGACAAGTTAGCGCACGTCGACGAGCATGTCAACCTGAACGTGCAACGAAGCATCAACAGATTAATAGTAAGAAAAATAGGGAGAACTAAAAAGGAAGAGAATATGCTTGGCCTATTCACTCATCACTTCATATTTTCATAAATAATGACAGAGTTACTGCAAGAAAAAAGAAATAACTAGTACCAAAAAAAAAGGATAAGATTCTTCTTTTTTTTGTCTTAATATATCTCATTGTAAATAATGTAAAGTAAGTGATCATATTTTTTTCTCTTCTAGATATGCTTGCTCATTCACCGAAAGATCGTTCTCGATCACCTCATCGTAACAACAATGAAACAATTGTAAATCAAACAAATTCTACGTCGAGTAAACATCTATCATCAGCAATACAAGCCTCAAATCAAAATGATACATCTTCTCAAATTGATACAAGTAGTAATGATGTAAATATTCAAAATAATAATAATAAAGCCAAGAAAGAAAATGAATCTCAATTACGCATGAAAAATCTCAAAGTAAAATAATAAAACTTTGAAAAAAAAATTAACTTGTCATATTTTTCTTTTCTTTTTAAAGTCATTCATTCAAGCATTAATCAATGATTCATCGTCTTTAGGCTCAACATATGATGAACAAGTAAAAGCACTTGAAAATGCTTGTATAAAAGAATTTGGTGATATATCTCTTGATCGTATTCGTCGAATGATTCGTAATATTTTCAAAATGCGTAAATCTCAACAATCATCACATCCAACGAATTCATTTTTACATCAAGTACAACTATTTATAATTATAATAAATTTTAACAAAGCTTTTTTTTTTCTTTTTTTAGGATCATACAAATATTTTACCAACAACAACTACTGATCGTTTTAATTCTAATGAAAATAATACTAACAAAAAGAATCGATCAAATTCAACTTCAAATAACACGACACCAAAAACTGTATGTAAATATAAATATATATATATGTTCAAAATAGAGAGTTGATGATAATATATTGTTTGACATTCTATATGAACTGAATTAATTATTTTTTTTCTATTCAAGAAAATTCTTTTTGTATTATTTATAGTCTGATCTAGCTACATCATCAGCATCGACATTATCTGCACTTGATGCCGATTTTCTTCGTCATGCATTTTCACAACAATTTCGACCATCAATTGATCTATCAGCTTATTTTTCAGCAGCTGCTGTTGCTGCAGCTTCAAATGGCACTGGTTCAACGTCACCACTTTTCCGTCCAAATTTTTCTCCATCAAATTTTCTTCAATCACTTACAGCGCCACCTCCACCTCTTCCAACAACACTCGTATCATCTCATACACATACTAATGGTTCTTATCAAAGTGTTTTATTTTTTATTTTTATTTCTATTGATAAAATTCTTTTGATTTTCTATAGGAACAAGTGATACGTCAACAACAAACGTCAATAAATTATCGAAACAAATAAAATTGTCTAATAGTGAAATAAATTCCATTAAAGTTCTTATCAATGCTTATCGAGAAGCAGCTTCATATTTAAACCGATCAGCTGATGAACTCGAACAATTAATATAATTGTATTATCAACTATTCATATGTTTATTTCTTTTTTTTTTGTTCTAGTGTAAAAATGAAAAAAAAAACTGCACATCTACTTAACTCGAGTGTTAAGACCTTAAATAATATTGATATTTACTATATTTAAGAAGAAGTTGTGTCAAATCTACTAACTACATAAAAAAACAATATGTAATCGTTTTTCTCTTGCGAGTCTGCCCACGTTATAATAGCAATATGACCTATTTAACTCTCAATGAAATAATCTTTCAAAGATACGAAATAAATAACACAAGAATAAAACAACTAGCTATTTATGCCAATTCCTCAGAGTTGATATTTATACGAATTCAACATACCCATTCGGATTTGTTTTTTGTTTCACTATGATGCACTTTCGATATATTACCTTGATAGTGTCTGTCTTTCAAATTTCATTATTGAGATACAGTGATGCTGCGAAAAAAATATCTGGCATGCCCCGTCTGCTTATTATTTCACTTGATGGTACGATATAAATTAATAGGATTTGATTATAATTGAAAATAATTTGTTTTGAAGGATTTCGTCATGATTATTTAAATGAGCATATATTACTTACATTGAATCGATATCAGGTCATCTATAAAGAACGCCCCTCTGGCGTACTATAAATATGTTTCTTCGTTTCATAAAACTTTTGGTGAAAGTTTCAAGTTTGGAGTTCGTTTTGAATAGTATTTTCATAAAGGATAATCAGTTTAATATCACTATGATGTTGAAATTTATGTTGTTACATCTTAAAATCCGTTTTGAATTGATCTTCATTTTTGTATTTTTACTATTATCTGCTTATTAAAATACGATATACTTAAAAAATGAAAATCTTTGCTACAGATTATATGTTTGGTTTTTGTTTGCGAAAAGTGTTTATATTGATATATTTATTTGAGGGGTGTCCAAGGACTGAGAATTAGGAATTACTCCTCAGTCCCCCACAATTCCTTGCATACTAAAGGTACAAATATGGAATATTCACAATAATTTTTGTTCTTACACTCATTTTCACCTGCAAAATTGTGAGAATCAATAGTTCCGTGCATAAATTATTTTAAAAAAAGCAATATCGATACTTTCGTGAATAATGGAATTGTGAGGGAACCAATGATCAATTCCCATTTCCTCTAGGAATTATCATAGCGGCACTGACAATTCCTCGGCAGATTAGGAATTCATATTTCTCAGTCCTTCGACACTGCTGAAGTAAACAGGTGTTCATTTAAAATGAAAATATTGATTTAAAGAATTGAATATTATGCTTATTTTAGAACGTAAAATCGGCTGTTCTTTTTTGGGTGTGAGTGTGCGGGTGTGGGTAGGATGTGAGTGTTTAATTCCTTAAAAGTGGGCACCCACACCCGCATCCATACCCCACCCACACTCACACCCATGACGTTCGTCTATTAATCTATAGTTGGTTATTTACTAATAACATACCATTTCGTGAAAAAATCGACAATGCTATAGGCTACTTTCGTGAATTACCAGTTCAACTCGTTATGTTATATCATTTGTATAGTTAAAAAAACAATTACATCTATTTAGCAATAATTTTTTTCTCTTTAAGTGAACCAGATAAACAAGGTCATTCATACGGTCCAAATTCACCAGAAGTACGCGATGCAGTAAGTAGAAACTTATTGAAGTAAATTTATTTATAAATATGTTTTTTGTTTAATTAGTTATTTCATCTTGATAGTGATATAGAATATTTATTGAATAAAGTAAAAAAGACCTCAATGATGATTTGAATATTATTATACTCTCCGATCATGTATGTAAAAAATACTTAAGTAATATATTCATGTGAGATATTTTTCGAAAATAGAGATGTCATGACAGCATTAGTTTTGATAATAATAAATATATTATATGTAGGTTTTTGCGCACTATCTAGACAGTATGCTATAACTTTTTATGGGCTAGCTAAGCATCTTATCTGTAGCTTTTTTTTTGAAGTATCTCAATATATTACGCATGACCTTCTTATCTGTTGACATTTTTCCGACAAATGGTAATTTCATCAGAACCATGAAAATAATTTGGCATGTCGGCTTGAACATTTTATTACTTTTGTAATGAAAAATGACATATTATAATTGATCTGTTTACTTTGATTAACGTTTATACGAAGACAACCTACGTTTTGTGATAAAGTTTTCAAGGATATTAAGAAAATACCAAAACCGGCTATGAAAAGTACTTTACTAATGTTTAATTTATGTTTAAAACCGTCTGCGGACTTATTAGTAACATGTCTACAAAGTAAACAATTTGAAATTGTATAAATAGTTTTCATTTTCAGCTAGAAGACTTGCCCAGAAAAACTATGAAGGAAATCATTAATATATGGACGAACGCTGTTATGCAATATGGTTTGCATACAATAGTAATTGAATTGTAAATACTTTGTTTAATCATATCTACGAGTGTGGTTGCGTGTGGATCTTAGTATTTATATGGGTTTGATAAGAACACTCACATGTCACATTCCACTTGCACGCTGACGTACATACCCATCAACATCTGATTTATTGATTCAAAGAATGTCAATCGATAAGAAGATCATAGGTAGTATATATAAGTAGTTCCAAAACAATTGTAGATATGATGTTCAGATAGCTCGTAAAATGTTGCATGATTAGTGTCTAGATAGTGCTAAAAAAGTTACAGGAAATATAAATATTAGAATTAAAAATCATGTTAACTTAATGCTCACACCTAAGCATTAATTGAATTTAATGCCAAATAACACTGAAGAATTAGGCTTCATATCAATACTAATAATATGTTCTAATATGACTCTTTTTCTAAAAATCACTAGTTATTTCAAAATTTTAAGGGTATGACTAATGTAACAAAAGTGATACGACCATTTTTTGAGAAATATATTAATCGATCATCAGTTGAATCAACTGTTCTTTTTGGTCCCTTACTCAATGTGATGCCAAGAAGCGGACTAGTAAGCATATATAATTCTAAAACGCTATCTCTTACAAATTATTTATTCCAAAAAAAAAAAGACTGAACAAGTGCGCAATAATCTTAGTAATATTCTTAATGCGACAGTATATAAGCTTCATGAAATGCCTGAACGTATTCATTATTCAAAACCAAAACATCGACTTGGAGAAACTACTGCATTACTAGATGTGGAAGGTTACATTATATCTGGAATAAATCTTTTAATTAGCTTGATCAAACACTGTTCCCAATTTTATATTTAGGCAACAACTAATGCAGCATATGATAATCAATGTAATCATGGATGGGATAATACACTAGCATCAATACAAGCCATATTTATGGCTCGTGGTCCTTTGTTTAATGCAAATATTCAAATTGATTCGATTAATAATGTTAATATTTATCATATTGCTTGCCGCATTCTTAAACTTGATCCAAATCCATATGCTACTGCTGGTTCCCTTGTCAATCTTACTAGTCTTTTTCGATCGGTTGAAAATGTTACAACACCAAGTACTTTTATATCCAGCAGTTCAACAATAGAAAGATTCACAACATCAATGAAAAATGCTTGCTGCTTATTTTCTACTTATTTATTTCCTACTCTAGTGATGTTATTTTTATTATCTTTCACTCTCTGGAAGATATTCCAATAGGAAAAAAAATATTTTTAAGTTTTATCTACTATTATAATAATAACGAAATTATAACGATTAATAATCATTAATCTAATAAATATTTCTTTTTCGGAAAAAACATAATTTTAATATATTAATATTCTTAATTCTAAATATTGTGAAACTATTAGGAAAATACTGAATTGTGTCACTCTTCAAAAAACAAAATATTCAGGTTACATGAATAATATATATATATATATGTTGACCCAACACACACGCATAATTGGTTTCATAAAATGCCAATGTTTATTAAGAACATGATTTATCATTCATATAATACATGAAATGATTGTTTCTCATTAATCATTATCTTTTATTTAAATATAATTAATATTGTAACAACACACATAGATTTTAGATCATTATTCTAACTTTAAATCTACACCGCAAATCCTATAAAGGACAAAATATATAGTCAGATGTACATGACATATGAATGGAAACTCATGATAAGCCGCATTCTTTATTTTTCAAATTGATGAAATTTTTGAAAACGTTCGATGCTTTTACTACTGAGCATCTTAATGTTCATATTTCAATACCATCGCTGGTTGAAATAGAAAAATCTACAGTATTCAATAATCAATTCTGTATGATTCTAATCTTATAATGCCTTAGTTGTTAAAACTACTCATTTTGTTGCTAGTAGAAAGTACTAAGCACTTCATTCGAATCAAAATTATGTGTTCTTTCCAAACTTTTATGGGACTCATAGGTTAAAAGTTATAAGCAAATCTGTAAAAGGTTTGAAAATAGCACTTTGAATGGAGACGGCAAATGTGACCGTATCCTGTTGAAAATTAGTATTATGCTGTTGTTCAGTAATTTTTCTCTTTGATTTGGTAAAAATGCTCATTTTGTTTAATCCCACTCTTTTTCCTTTGGTTTATCACGTTTTGAATTGGAACTTATATAATAGACTTTCTTCTCAATAATGATGTCCATTGTTGAATATATTCTAGTAGAATTTTTTTGCTCAGTGGCATGGTTGAAACTGTCCTCTACAAAGTCAGGTAAGAACTGAGAATCTTGCAACTATTAGTCAGAAACGATCGAGTTCGAGAAATTAAGAAATTGTGAACACATCATTTTAGATCTTAGTACAACTCTAATTGTTGATAGATGCCTTGTAGAAAGCTGATGATAAGGATATTCTTTCATGAAGGAATATTTACTTTTTCTATTGTTGTATGGAAAATAAATACTATATCTATCTGGGACGCTTTATTAAACATTGAAAACCGTCAAAAATTTATTTTCAGGCTTTTCAAAAATCTACTCATAACTCCTGATCTATGAGTCTCACAAAAATTCGAAGAGCACAATTATAAGTCTAAGTAGTGCTTAATACTTTCTTTTCACTCTCTGAATCGATCGAAATATTTTGCTTAAAAACTTTCGACACATTCGTTAGTAGAAAAACATTTTCTTGAAATAAATCAGATAATTAATAATGAAATCTTTTCTATTATTTAGCATTAATACGCATGTAGATATATTCATGACTTGCCAAATGATCTTTTATTTACTCCTTACTTATAAACTTACACACCATCTTTCTTTTTGGGCTTTTTATAATTATTTGATTCGACTGTTCTTTTTTCATTCCATTTGAAAAGTAAACATTGAATAATGTGAAGGTTTTTTTTAAATGTTGTCTTCATTTTTTCATTTGTTCGATTTTTTTTTCTTCTTAATCTCTTACATTCTCATGTCATTTTATCGTCGTCGAATATTCATCTATTTTATTATACTTTCATTATTAATCATCGAACCTTTAATTTATATATTTTATTTATCAGATTCTCATTATAAAAATAATGTTGAGATATCAATACTTGATAATATAAGTGATAAAGCAACCATAATTAATATAAATACACGAATTTTATGTTGGATTCCGACAACACTGAAACGACTTGATCGAGCTATTGTCGTATATGAGTGAGTGAATCAATTTGGTACTTAGAGAAAATGATAATATGCCTATTTCAAATTCAGAACATGGGCTAAACGATGTGATCATTCAACTTTTATCATTGCTGGTTCACGTTCATCACCAACTCTTGATCATTCCAAATATCCTTTTTCTATTGCTTATATTGGTGATGAAACTATAGAAAAATATAATCGATTATCTGAAAAAACTTTACTTTCATTACTCTATATATATAAACAATATGGTCGTGATTATGATTGGTTTTTTAAAGGTGATGATGATACATATGTCATTGTTGAAAATCTTCGTCATTTTCTTCGACGTCGTCCATCAAATATATCATTTTATTATGGTTATATAGCTAAAACTTCAGATCGACTTTATCCATCAGGCGGTGCTGGTTATATCTTAAGTCAAGAAGCATTACTTCAATTTGGTAAACAAATTTTAACGAAAAATGAAAAACGTAAATTATGTAATACGGATGAAGCTGAAGATATAAATCTTGCCTATTGTCTTGCACGTATTGGTATATTTGTTGTAAATGCACGTGATAATCAACAACTTGAAATTTTTCATCCAATGACATTTGAACAACATTTTATGGGAAATTTTACAAAATGGATTGAAAAAAATGCACAATTTGTTCAGAAAAAAGGTGAACAATGTTGCTCACCATTGACTATATCATTTCATGGTTTATCACCAGAAGAAATGAAGATGATGCATTTTTTACTGTATCGAATAAAGAAAGCACCTGTTTGAACAAAATAAAATGAAGTTTTAATAAAAATTCGAAAGAATGTTTTTTTTTTCTTTTTAAATTTGTCGGATAATTTCTTGTATGTTGATCATATATCTTTACAAATTTATGAGTATTTGTTCGATTATTGAAGAAAACATAGATAATAGTTGTTTTTTGACCGAGTTAACTTCATAACATCAGTCTTTTGTATTGCCATCAAATATGATGGAGCCATTTCTAATATATAAACGATGATTATTTAATAACATGGAGTGTTGTATTATCTATATATACACCAGAGCTCTAAACAGGTGGTCCTCCTCGAACTGTATCTCTGTTTCCAAGAAAGATTTCACAGGTAAGAAAATAGAGAGAAATCTAATTTTAATCAATTTTATTTTGATTTTTCATCAAAAATTCTTACAAGAATTTTGCATCTCGCAGTTAGTAACAATCAGAATCTATCTTATGAGAACGTTTTGAAAATTTCATTTAATCAGTAAATAAAAGCAGAACATTTATTTGCTGTAATAACATTCCTAATCTACACACAAGGCTGAGTACACTATCAACTACATTAAATGAAGTAATGTTAACTGTACATAAAATAGTCACTGATATGAACCTTTGAAATTGATCAGAGGGCATTGTACTCGTGAAAGCTTATGTTAATGAATGATAGTCCTCAAAAAGGCGGAGTACCCACGAATGCATCATGGTCTTTCGGTTCAATCAATAACTTGACTTATCTATCATACTGTTTTTTCAAGCACTCAAATCGTTCGATCTTATTCCACTCGTGATCATTATGATAATAAAGTTGCTACACTGTTCTACTAAATGATTGTAGTGATTGTGAAATTCTATCGTTCAGAAATTCTTTTTCTAAAAGAAATATACTTTTAATAGTACCAGTCTAAGTTGGACCAAGCCATCAAAGAGAGTAGTCCAATTTCGATACCTCATATACACGACAAAACACATTTAGTAGATTGGCGGCGAAACGTTTTGAATCTAGGGTAGGTTCAACAATCTTTATACGATTCCCAATGAGAAGTTAAGAAACGAGAGAAGGGGAAGAAACCGAATCGTTTTATGCCATTCAGTTGGAACATATTTACTGCTTCTTATTTGTAACTCACATTTTGCACCATATAAACCTAGTACGGTTTTGAAAAAACTTGCAATTTGTGTGGAAAAGTGCATCCTTAAAGAAAAATGTCTTCATTTGTTTTTATTTAATTTTGACTCTCGAAAGAAGAGTTTTTGATCTAGTTAACAGAAATATAGAATAATGATAAAGTAGTAGTGTTCATTTTAAAAAAAGTGAATCGCATTATGGATTTTGTTGCAACAGCTGAAATGTAGTGCCAACAGCATAATGCTACTGTGAAAAACACAGAGTTTCTGTGATCTGTCGCGTACACATTCGGTCTCCATACTTTGCATGGTTTTTTCTGTAACAAGATCTGTAATTTGTGTTGCGATGTTCTACAGAACAAACATGCGAGTTTTCATTCATCTTTAGTAAAATCCGCAAAACAGTGGTTTTGACGATTTGACTGTCATTCTTTACCCGAGTTAAATAAAAATTGGTAAGCTAGTTTTCAGTCAGCTGTTGTGAGCAGGAGAAATAATGAAAATCTTCGACATGAGACGTTCTTGTACTATCTTATTCATGCATCGAAGAATGTAATGGATTTTTTAGAGAATCTTGCTTCGTGCGAAACTCTTTTATTTAAATTAAAAATCGATTATATCTTTTATGGTGTTTACCTTTGCTAGGTTATAAATATCAAGAGTAAAAATGCTTATTGTAGTCCATACAACAGAGTGGATATGTATCTTACTGCATAAGATTGTATCAAAGGATACTTAGCATATTTAAGTGATGTAAGTTGTTTGAATTTCAAATATAACAGTTTCCTATGGAAGAAGATCTCTTACAAATCCATTACATTCTTCGATACGTGAATAAGACAGTACAAGATGGTCTATCTGTGATCGATGTATATATAGGAGATGACTAAAATAATTTTATAATATAAAGTATTTATTCTAATAGAATATCTAATACAGTTTGTTGTGCTCTTGTTAATAAAATATTGAACAATGAAATCAGATAAACATTAGTAGAAATTTGGTAGAGTGGAAGTTGTTCTACTGAATCAAGTATCATAATGAAAATTTCAACTTAGAATAAGCGCACAACAGTTTGCAAAAATAAGAGGTTGGATATTTTCGAAAGAATAAAAAAGGACATGTTGTGACTGTACAACCAATAAAAACTAAACAGATTGATGGATTGCTCTGGAAGGTTTTACGAGTATACTATGGACTATTGGTTGTAATCTGACAAAAACCAGATGATTCGAAAATAAGAAAATAATCTACTCGTTGAATAATTTTGATGCCTACTGAATATACTGATAGTCCAAACAGTGTTCTGTAATGCTCCAATATTTCATCATTCTTCAATTGGTGTGATAATGTACATAAGGATTTCCGATCAAAGTTGTTATCTTCTGATTTAGACAGATAAGGAAAACATCATTTCTACAAGAAATCCTATAATGTACTGTACATTCCAAACGAGGCTTATTCGTGATAAATTTTCTTTTTCATCTGTCAAGCTTCATCTCTTAGAATAATTGAAAGATTATATTAATAGTTTTGTGAAGGTCAAAAAGGCGTTGGACTTGACGAACAACCTACCATACCTATAACTCAGACCATATCTTTCATTCATAAACACGCTCAATACCAATTGTTACGACATCTACCAAGCTGTACTCTTTTCAAGTTTGCAATGATTCGAGATTATTCGTTCGGTGGCGCCATGATTTAGATTAGTTTGTGTTTGAAATTTGTTAATTGTAATATGAAAGTCATCGTTAATAAGGCAATTGGTCTATTCAATATTTTCGGATATTGTTCTATGAAAAATATGCTGAATCGTGCTTCATCTTCAACATATTCTCAACCTTCATGAAGTCACTCTTAGAATAGTTTTTTTTTAACTGTTCTAAGACGTAGAGCCTAACTGTCGACAATGAAATAAAGTGCAGTATGGACTTAAATGCAGAAGCGAAAGTTTTTCTTATGCAATAAAATCAGAGTTGAACAACTATGATCGAAATTCTAATATAATGAGAGCTACAAAAGTTTCTTCCTCAGTCGTTTGCAGAAATATTCAAGGGCTGATTATAGTGTGGTTTTCCGAAGTATGAACCTTCATCAACAATCCATTGGTGCAATGGATAAAAGAGCTTGTAGAGATTAAGTTTGAGATAAATTTTTAGGAAGACATTGTTGGCTGCTCAAAGAATGTGTAATATTAGATGAACGCTCTTGAATCTAATTTTCTATAGTCGATATTGCAGTTTTAACAGCAGAAATGAATCTCGTGGGTCTAGCTCTTTGGAAAATGTTCGATTAGCGCATACTCTCATATAATTCAGGCAGACAAATTCATTGTGAGTGTGAGTAAAAATGTCGATGGTCTCACGTTTTCATCATGGCAGCTGGGACATACCATACCGTTCTTGTACTGTTTTTCTGGCGCAATTTGGAAACTTACATTAGGCATACATTGGCAGGTTAACTTCTATCTGCTAGATCCTAATGAAATAGGCTTTGTTAGGCTAGATTGTTTAAAAAAAATGGCTTCATGCATTTGTCTGAACTTTTGTTTCGACGAGCTTCGACTGCTTGTGAGTTGTTTTATAAAAGTCGAATATTTGACTTTACTTGTTATTCTCTATTCTAATGATATAACTATGATAGATTACCAGTGATAATGTCAAATACAAGATTGAAATCGATCCATGCAAATCTCTGTAGAAAATGATGAGACAATTGAACATGGAACTGTTCTTAGTCATCAATAAGTAACTAATGCACTTATCAAGCATACAACTTAGTAGAACTTTAAACAAATAAGAAGTATAGAAATACTTGCTTGAGAAATTATGCCCAGTGTCTTCTATTAATTGATATATACAGTAGGAAGCATGTTCAATTATTGTTCGGATCCTAATAAGTGCTTCGCAAATATCTATATTTATGACGAATAAAAAAATTTTCTACTTCGTTGATTTCATTTTTCGTTGTTCTGCGAAGAAAAATAAAGATTTTTTATTGTAAAATTGAAACTGACTCAATTTCTCAGTGTTAAATGTTCCTACGAGCAGTAAATTTCATTTTAACAAATAAAATGATAAAACATCATTCATAAAACACCTTTACCTTTCTGTTGAATATGCTGATCTGATGAGAACATGTGTAACAAACTTCGATTTCATTCTATTTTGTTTTCCCTAATATTAGCTTCACGATGGCAAAAGATAACATTCTGAACTTTTTCTACAGGCGTTTGCAAACAAAAAAATTTGCACAACTTTTTCTACAGATACTTGGGTCATACCACACATAGTGGCTGAGGTACTTTAATTCTTTATAAAAACGTTTAAGAAACTTTCTTTCTATATAGTCTCATAGAGAAAAGAATGCTTTATTTTTCTATGCTATTTGATCATACTTCAACTAATACCATAATGATAAACTTTCGATAAGACTTGTTTTACTATGATATTTGCCTAGTACTACTAGTGTCTATTCAGTGGATATTTTGTTGGATAACTTTTCATAGAAAGAAGATAGAGAACTGCGGTTTTCATCTTTCGAAAGGGGTGATAAATAAGCATCGAATCATGTATTATAGGTTAAATAAAACAAGTCCTATCGAAAGTTTATCATTATGATATTAGTTGAAGTATGATCAAATAGCATAGAAAAATAAAGCACTTTTTTCTCTATCAGATCATATAAAAGAAAAGTTTCTTAAACGTTTTTATAAAGAGTTACATTACCTTCACCACTACTTTTGGTATGACCTAAGTAGTATCTTCTATTAATGATGTTTTTGAATTGTTTTACATTTCAATTAATAGCTTATAAAAAGTACTATATTACAGCATGATTTCCTGTTTCCTTTCTTTACTTTTCAGAACTATAGAAA